TATTTGACTTTTATGCGTTTTAGAGGTTAGGTGTTATGTGTAAAACGTTTGATCGCAAAAAAACACATAGCTTTTTTACATTTCATGTCTACCAACTTATACGATTATGGACCCGTAACATGACATTACCAAAAATCCGAAAATTGGATTCTACAACATAAATATTAGTGAAAAATTGATAGAGTAACCAACAATATAATTTTTTAGTATTCAAAAATGTATATCAAATTGATTATTTATTTGTATCAGTTTGTTTTATTTTTTTGCTATCATTTTACCATTTTGATAAAAAAGAGATAAAATTAACGCAACCACACAACCAAATAGCAATATGGGTAGAGCGGGCCTTAAAGGTCCACGGGTAAAAAGTACCACCCCTAAAAAATATCAAAAACAAGTATAGTTTTAGAACTTTTTACTAGCAACATTTAAAAGTAGAGGGAAAAATGTGTTAATTACTTGCTATCAGAAGATAAACAAGCTTGTTTGAAAATATACCAAAAGTACTTCCTTTCATTGTTAGTTTATTTTCGGTTGTGAGCACTGTTGTTTAATTTGCGATACCTTGATAAATATTTTAAATATAAGTTATTTAATCCGTTTTATATAGAGATGTTTAATTTTAAGTGAGTTTCAACAAATGTTAAAATGTAACCTCTATATAGCTTAGATGTAGATGGCATAAGAAAACAACTGAACCGTTATTTTGACAAAGGTGTAAAGAATAAAGAATAAAAAATGTAAAAAAGTAAATTCAGTTAAAAAGGAAATTTAAAAATAATATGAAAAAAATGGTTACTCCATCTTTACTGATAAATATTTCCGATAAAATATCAGATCAAGGTTATATACAGTGCCATCTTTGTAAAAAATGTGCCCATGAAATTTTTTATTTTGCATTCATTGAATATTGTAGCTAATATTTTTTTGTAAAACTCATTTAAAATTAATATTAAGGCATCGGATCTGTTTGCCCTCTGACTCTACAATTTAAAAAAAAAAAAAACATTTCGTGTCCTGTATTGTGCTGTAATTAATTTGGTTTAGAGAGCATAATTAGTTAAAGTCAAATTGGACCTTTGTGCCCCGCCCTAAACTAATAATAATATCATATCATATAGTTAGACCTGTGATGATGCATATATCGATTTTTGTAATAAAAACACATAACACATTGTGTGATTCAAATAATAACTTTATCTGAGAAACTTTAATTTTTTTATAAAGATTTCTTTAGATGCTAAAAAAGAATAAATTTATACCTTTAAAAGATTGAAGATATAAATTAAATAATACTATTCAATAAATTCATGAATTAAAGTAAATCATACTACAAAATGTGGAGACAACTTTATGTAATTAAACATAATAAATATATATATATATATATATATATATATTTAATAATAAATAATTTATACTGTTGTAGACTCGATGATATGGCGGAATGACTAAACTACACAGCACACTTGGAGCTACACTGATGCGAATATCGCATCTAGCAAGCTATAGTAGATTATTGTTTTCACGAGCGTAAAAATTGTCTCTCGGTTTTTAGTCAACGATCAATATTCGGGCTAATAAATTTATATCAAAATTTATATAATATCAGTTTCGTTGTAAATTGAGTTATAGATAAACTCACTTATCATCGAGTCTACAACAGTTAATTGCGATTTCATTTTAAAATATAATTAATTAATAATAAATGGCCCACTAGCGCCATATATATGTGTGTGTGCATGTATGTATATTTATTTATTTATTGATAATAAAATTAAAAAAAAATAAAATTTTAAATTTCACAAGCCCAAAATGTTTTTACATACTGATATTATTAAAGTAAATCGTTTTCCCAATGTTTAAATTTTGAGCAATAATAATACATATATTTTGAATGTTTGATATGAACCTCCGATTCCGAATCCAGGTACGAGTCATTTATTGAGTGAGCGAATAAGCGCTAACAATAAGTCCAAACGTCCACATTCCCCTCCACCGTTTAATATAGAGACGAATTTAACAGAAACAACCCGCTCTCGAAATCGAAACAAAAGCCAACAGAAACTATGTGAAGACGAATTGAATTTTGTCAGTGGTAGAACCGGATCGCCCGTAGAATTTTTTGGAATCTACGTAAGAAAAACAAACAAGAATGTAAATGATAGAAGTCGGGATAAACAAATAAAAAACCGGTATAAGTTGGTTACGCAATTATATCCGAATGCAGCATTTGATGGACACAAATGCACGCGCCGAAGAGAAAACCACGCGAAGAACGGCGGCACGCTCACCAACGCGAGGCTTTAGTCTTTCAACAGCGCCCGGAGTAAGTAGACATTGTCTGTACAAGTTGAAAATAATAATATACATTTGTATTTATACATTCGTGCACCATATGATGTGTTCAAACACACCTGTGCAAGCCAACTACTAATTAATAACAAACATATATCAAAGTGTCGTGAAAGTGGTACAACCGATCGTTCTTGTTGTGTAAAACAAATTATGTTATTCTAAATTGTGTAAAATAGGCCATGTAAGAGTTCTTGCGCATCTTGAATTTGAATACCGCGGATTTTCTTACGGTGAGTTATAATGTGTACTAAATTAGTGACTCCATCAATTTTTATCGAAAATAACACATATTGTACTCTTTCATTTCATGTGTATCACAATGTTTTCCTTGTTTCGTTATGGTGTGATGATTTCAAATACAGTTGATAGTGTGACATCAATTCCCAAACATAAATATATAATATCATAATTACTTAAATTCAAAATACATGTGATAATTTAAATGATATTAAATTATAAAAAAAATATTTTGTTCTAAAATAAATTCCATGCTGATTATTTTCTTTCTATCACATACTTTCTACACTACACAAAATAAATTTTAAAAAATTGTATAGTTTTTACTAAAATGTTTTTATTTTTATTATACTTAAACTTTATATTATCAATTTACCTTTCGTTTCTGAAATTTCCAATTAACTGATCCAAAGTTTTATTTTCCAAACAATAAAAACCCCACCCAATATGTTAATAATCATAAGTTAACATAAAAAAATTACATTCAATTTTACTCTATTATTTAAAAAAAGAGTCTATCATTACATTAGTAGTTTTCCCCGTCCAGTTGGATTTCAAAGGGTCAGTTTTATAGATTTTTCTTTATCGTGCTGCTATGAAATTCCACGTTTTGCCGCGGACTGTAAAGGTGTGTCAGCCGCACATGAATCGAGAGTCATTGGCGGTCAAACGAGAATCAACTCGGCCACAGACGCTGCTAAACAACATTTTATTCTAATCTCTCAAATATAGATAGACATTTATAAACTATTATTTGCAATTTAAAAAAAATGGCACATTTTCTATTAAATTTTTAATAAATTTAGTACCTAATTATTGGCATTCAAATTAAAGTATTGCGCTTCATAGTAAGACTCAGTCAGTGAGCTAAAGACAGAACTGATAATACGGAAAATACGACTTCTATATTTAGAATATGGTAGATCGAGACATAAAGGTCCAATTTGACTTTTAGTAACTATACCGTTTAAACTAAATAAACTATATCACAACAAATAACACGTATCAAATAAACAACTATCGAACCATGTTCAGTAAAAATCCCAGCTAATTCACTATTATAGAAGTATGTTTTTTACCGTTTTCTAAAATTTGTCATCTGCCTCTTCTTACCCCATAGTCTGGGTAAAAAGAGAATGCCATTAGACATACGGATACAATGTCTTATTTTTAATTTCAAAGAGATTTTACGAAGTTAAAATATTTAACTAATGCAAAATAAAAGTTTCATTGGCAATGCTTATAAATATTACACTGTTTATAATCATGATCTATAAAAAGTCAGAAATATTCATCAGTAGAGTTAGAATAAATATTAATTTAATTTATCTCTAGTAAAATTGCTTGTTCCAACTTTATCCTATTTTCATATTGTTTAGACCTTTTCCAGTGTAAAGGTTCTGGTGATCCTTTTTACCTCAACTAGATCTAAGCTATTCTAAAATTTTATAAAAATACAAGTTTGTAATAACAATACATCTTATAAGACAATTAAATAGCGTAGACTTGAAAATAATATGCAGGTATCATAAATTAAATACAAGTGCTCAAACCCAGAAAACTACCAACGAAAAAAATTTTATTATGAATATTGATACAAGGCCGTTTATCTCCTGACAAACGACGTAATAAGAATTAAGATGCTGGCTGGTTATACATCCTTTACCTTCTACTTTAAAATAGTATCGAAAAAAATACTATACTTTACTTGTTTTGTTTGTTTTTGAGAAAATGTTGATGAATTTTTTTATCCCCAGACATTGGCATTCAAAATATTCATACATAAATAACAATTGAAAATTATGTTCTTTTTATATATTTGAGTAATAAATATTTTAAGATGTTCTCATAAAACACAGTTTTTAAATTCATAATAAAAATTCGATTCTAATCTATATCATTCTCCAACGTGTGACCATCAACAATTGAGATTTTCAATATTAGTTTTAATTTCTAGTCCAAACAAGGTCAAATGGAGTCAATATTACTCAACATTCTGGTCTATTTTTTAATTAAATTACTTTAAAAGACATTTGATTTAAAATGAGTCATTTTACATTTTACATAAAGTTTACATTCCGATCTCTCATTCAAAGAAAATGATGTAATTTGATCAAGAATATGTGATTGTAATTATCAACTCTATTTCATTTGATCTTTAATTTTTTAACTGTTATATTTTTCTTAACTAAAATTGCATTTACTTAATTTTTTGTTTTTTTTTAGTTTGAACTAGTGAATAGAATGAATATTTTTTTAAAAAAAGTTCATATGCCAGGGGCAAATATCTCCAATGTCTTATTTTTAGTTTTAAAAGAATTTTACGAAATAATAGTTACATTATTCAACCAATGCAAAATATAAATTTCATGGGTGCATTTTTTACTGAGAAAATACTGTATATAACCTTGATATAGTATTTTTTTTAAAAATAACAATCAGCGTAGTTGGAATAACTATTTATTTAATTTATCTCTTGTAAAATTGCTTTTTTCCATTAATTTACATTTTTATTTACACATGGTAGGGGTTCAGTCACCAGGGTAGGGGTTCAGTTCATGCAAAATATTATAGAGATTATATAAAAACATATCTTAAATCTAACTTGAAAATAGCAATGCATCTTTTAAAACATATGAATAACGTAAACCTAAAAATTATATTAGGGTCCGGTAAACTAAAAAACAGTGCTCAGAATCATAAAAACTAACAACGAAAAAAATACTTTTATTTTGGATTTTCTAACATTATAGCGATGTCATAAAAATCAAGGTATATATATATATATATATATATATATATATATATATAATATCATATATTATGAATATATATATATATATACGTATATATATATATATATATATATATATATATATATTATATATACATATTCATACCATCGTACATGATTAAAAATATGAATCATGATTTGTATAATATTTCAATTAACTGATACATTACTGTAATTAGTTTATGAGTAATCAGGTTTAAACGTTCTTTGATAAACAATTAAAAATAACTTAAATTTAATAACATTATTGAAATAATTATTAACTGTGTCAATAAAATAACTTCTTATTAAAAATCCTTAGAATTCAAGCAAGTTTGTAATTCAGTAAAACCTCATCTTCAATCGATTGCGAATAAATTATGTATCGTCTTTGATACTACCACAAATATAAAGAGCTGTGAATACTGTGTTTATATCTTTGACAAAATAATGAATATATAAAAACATAAATAATAGTGCATATTTAATGCATAATGTCTATTAAGATATGATTTAACTTAATTATATAAAAAAATAATTTAATGCTTGGGTTGACAATACATGAAAAAATACCTGAGTGAATAGGATTTTAATTGACTAAAAAAATTGTGAAGGCTAATACACTGTATGAAATAAAAATTACTTTTAACAACGCAACATATGCGTGCATAACTTAATAAATGCATACCTAATTTTAGTGAAATTGTAAAACTTTATTAACATCCCTCTCGGTTTAATCTGATTTTATTTTGATCTTTATATCTATTTACTTAAGTAATAAATAACAAAGGCACACAAAACAGTTTATTTGAAATTGTTATCTGTATGATTTATTATGTAAATTATGACCTGTAAATATTTCGTATTAATTTTGGTAATAAATAACGCAAATATAACTTATCAATCTTATAAACCCATTTGTTGTCATATTATAGCCCATCATATAGTTGCTTATGATTTGTATTAAATTCGTGAAATCAAAATATATTATGTCTATCAGATTAGAAAAAAACTTTTGTTAGTTTTATAGAGACAAGATTAAAGCGCAAAACGAAGTGATTACGAGCTAGTGGTGCCTTAGGGCAAATTGCTGGAACTTTTCTTTCCGTAATCATATATTCGAGAAATTTCAAATGTTTTCGAATGGACTGTACATACTGCACCTTTCATTATTCGTATTTTATAGATAAAATATCAGATGTTATAAATGGGACGACGTCGTTTACATATGTTCTCATTAAAACAAAACATAACTAGTGGTGTGTATGGCATCGTGCCTTAAAGCAAATTGCTGCAACTTCCCGTATCAAGAATTATTATTTTTTTAAGAACGATTAACATTTTTGAAAAAATTTTAATTCGAAAAAATTAGATTTTTGAAAAACTATAAATTTGACAAAAAATACTTTTTTTCAAAAAAAAAATTATTTTGACATATTTTGGAAATTCTGAACTTTTTTTCAGAGCAATCGTACTGCATAGAGATGAAATGTCAAAGCGCGTAAGCGCCACGTCGCCGTCTAGCGGATAAACATTGGTACGGAACCCATAGGAATGTAAACAAAATTTTCACTTATTGTTAAAATCTCTATAAAAAAATATCCGATAATTTGATCTGCATATGTCTAATGATCATGTTTGACCGCCAAATGGCATTTTTTTTTACTTTTTAGATCTCCGAAACCGATAACCCTGCCTTCATGAAAATTCTTTATCTTGTCAATACAAATAAAATGTTTTTTGAATTATTCAAATCGGACGCTCCGTTCTTTTGCATCATATCTTTGGAACGGCTACACCTGCCTTCTCCAAAAACTAATCAGCATGTCTCCTTATCAATACGAATCGAATGTTTATTGAATTATTCAAATCGCTTCATCCGTGTTCCCGAAATCGTCGACGAAAATTTGTATCCGCACACACATACACGGACACACACATACACACATATACACACATACACACACGCACACATACATTCATTTTAAGGTGCCAAATTATTCAGAAGGTTTTGAAACGTAAAGATATATAAAAATTTTCATTTTCGATTTTTTTGCGATTACTATAACTTGCCTTACGGGAAGTTAATCAATTTCTGAGAATATAAAATTATTTATTTCAAGTATATAAGTGATATTTAAAATTTTATTATAATTAAAATTAAAACCCGAATCATTTTCGATATTATTTTTTTTTTTTTGAATGAAAAAAATATATTTT